CTGGGGAATTCTGGGAGTTGAAGTCCACCCATCTGAAAGTGGCCAAGGTTGAGAAACACTGTATCAGAGACTTGTGACAGTGCCTTTGATCAGTTGTGAGTGCTGCTTACCTTAGTGGAGCAGTTGTGCATAAAGAGAGAGATTCCCACTGAAAGTCAACAACGCACGGTTTATTCTCGGGGTTGAACTTGGTGACGTTTTCCAGATGTTGCTGCACTGCCCAGCAGCTCCAGCCAGCACGTTCGCTGGAAAGTGTAGTGCGTCAACATCTCCAAGGCTGCCCTCTGGATCCTGATGTTGATGAACGACAACTCCCAGCACCCTTCACCATTGGCCAGCTGTCGTTAGCAATATCTGGAAAACTGGGTTTTCTGAATCCTGAAAGAAATGAACAGGGGCAGCCCCTGTGTGCTAGGGGTGTGTGTGAAGGGGCTTTCTCCTTGTTAAAAAACTTTGAAACTGTTGGTGGTAGTCAACGTTTCACGCAAATGGTTGTTTGGGGGTGCTCAGTTGTGTGTTGCTTTTCTCCTTCAGGAGAGCGTAGAGGAGACTCTAGTTGCAAACCGAATAAAAACAGTGTGGTTAGTCAGTGGGATTCTCTGCCTCGAGCTGTTATGGAACAAAGGCACTTTTGAGAAATACAAATTCAGTGTTCGGAGTCTCCTTTTCTCTTGCCTCTGAGGAAGATTTCTTCCCTAAAGGATATCCACGTGCGCCCTTCCGCCTCTGTTTCTGGTGCCCATTCAAAAGGGGTACGACCTCTGGTGCAACAGTCCTGTTTGACACACTCCACATTTGTGGGGCCTGCAGTTGGCAGCATTTCCAACAAGCCAATCTGAGGGCAACAGGCCAGGATGGTGAAGCGAGTCGATGTAGGGCAGATGTAGGGCAACGCCTGTGCTGACCTCATATTCAAATTATTAGTGTCTGGTGTATCGTCTCCTGCCACTGGGAGTGGGGTGGAAGAGGCAGGCCCAGATTTGCAGGCAACCCAGAATTCTGTGGAACAGCTGAGACCTCGCTGATCAATCATGATAAAATCCAAAATAATGCTGAGAGGTAAGAGAAATGCTCTTGAAAGTAAGAGAATGGAACTGAATACAGGGAAAGGCAACATTCTTTGCTCAGCCAGCTGAAATCAAATGCATTAAAAAAGTCCTGTCTGACTTTTTATTTATATATATATATA